TGAACAGAGCTCCACCTATGGGAGTGCACTGACCACCAGGGGGCAGCTCCTGCATTGAACATCTGCCCCTTGGTGGTCAGTGTGTGTCATAGTGACCAGTCATTCCCAGTGGTTATGTTGTTATGATCAATTTGCATATTACCCTTTTATTATATAGGATGTTTAAAGCTTCCTGCAGCTATTAGCCTCCATCTCTCCATCCTGTTATTGCTATGAGGAATGCAGTCCTGGTGCCACAAGATCTCCCAATTTTTCATAAGAGAAGCCAGAAATTCAAATGAGGAAAAACTTCCATTTTCAAATGTTGGCAATTAAGAAACAAACAGACAATAAAACACTGTACAGTGCAGGCCAAATAAAATGTATCTGCAAACTGAATTTGACCTTACAGTATGTAACCAGTGGTAGCTACACAGCAAGAATACTCTAAGACCAGAAGCCTCAGTAAGAAGTTCAAATATCTGCATCCCAGATCTTAAATACCCTAGGACTATTATACTCACATTTCATGTTGAAGACAGATTTCCATGTAGTCTTTCTCTCTTGAAGACTAAATTTTGGGGTTAATTTTGTAAAACGGCCACTACTTTAATTTACTATTTTAAAATACACATTTTTAGAAAAAAAATCAAAATAATTAGTATTGCGGTGGCTGAATTTAGAGTTATATTAGTAAAATTAGAATTATAATATGTAGAAAATGTATACATATTAAAACTCATTTAAAAAAATATGTTTTACAAACTGTGTTAATTGGGTAAAATGAAGTGTCAATCAGCTGGGTCCTTAGCACCAGTTGAGCTCCTTTGCATCTCTAGATGAGATATCAGGAACTGGCCATCCTGATGGGTCACCTTTCCTTTAACAACATGAAAATGGAAAAACAAACAGAGGCAAGCAGTGACAACAATGTTAATTGGCAAGTTATTTCTGTTACATAATATATAATAACAGTGCCAAAGGATTCTAAGACTCAGTACAATTTTCTTTACTGTTTTACCTCTACTAAGTAGATTAGGTGGTTAAAAAGGATAAACTAGCAAGACTTTCTATTTGGAAACAAAATCTGCTGGATTAAAAAAGAAATGCTATATGGGGCAGTGCCCAAAGATGTAATCCCTTGTGAACAAGGTGGGAGAGTTTAAGATAAAGGCAGCCTGGTTTTATCAGAGCTGGATTTCACCACTTGATAGCTGTGTGACTTTAAGCAAGTTATTTAACTACTCTGAGCACTATTCCCTCATCTATAAAAAAGAATAAACACTAGATACTTTAATTCTCATTATGAAAATTGTTATACATCTTAAATATGCTTTAATTCATTCTCTTAGCTGAAACTTGAATCCATCCACAACACCAGTTTAAAAACTTCTGGTAGAACAGCTACACAGACAAGAAATCTCAACATTCCTCAAAACAGTCCTTTTTATCCTTACACTTCTATATTTTTCTCTTACTAAACTAAAATCAATTTCCTTGTGACTTCAACCCCATCAATCAGACTGTAGTTTAAATCTTACTAAGTATAGCTAATTCAAGCTCCACAAAGGTTGAGGCTGTTTAGTATTGAAGCCCCAGCACCTAGAACAATAAGCACATAGTAGGTGTACAATAATAATTACAGGTTGAGTAATACATTCTGTGTAGTAATTACTGATTGATCTTTGAAATGCCTTCTAATACAAAGAACACAAATGTGTACATTTCTGGAGGTGATCATTTAATGTTTAAGGTTTAAAAGTTGAAATATATATAACCAAATGCATGCTGTTTTTTAAAAATCCTTCAGATAAAGTAAATGAAAGCAATTTAGCTGTATTTCAAATGGGGAGGCTATTCAATGATAGATGATAAAGTTCCTTCAAAGTAATAGACCTACTATTAATGGCTTCATAACTCCTACTCATAATTTCCTTCAGATTTAACTGAATTCTAAGTTTTAAAAAAACCCTATTCTGCAAATAACCCCCAAATAATAAGTCAAATGCTGACTATTCTGCAAATAACCCCAAATAATAAGTCAAATTTTTTATTACCTGAGTTGCCCAGAAAATATCAGCATCAATATTATGATAGAATATCAAAATCTGCAAAAAGTTTTCTCATGACTTTTTTAGCCTCACACTACTATAAACCTCTCACTACTTAAACACTAGAACTCATTTATAATTTAGTCACTTATGCTCCAGAGCTAAAAGCAGGTCCCATAAACTAGGTTCAACTTCAAAGAACAAGAAATCAAACACGGTGAACAACCAGTTCACTATCCTCTGCAAATCTATGGAAATATTTCCATAATATAGTAAACTTCTCCTGCTACCTGACCGTTTTAGTTTTAAGCTGTTACTCTGGGCTATTAGCCTGAAACAAGTCATAATTAGTTAGGGAAATCTGCCACATACACAAGTCAATAACCCATCCTAAACCCAAACATAAAATATTTCTGAATTAACTGGGCCACTGATGCTTGAGACTGATAGAAAATTAGTGATCTAGATTGAAATAGGCAACTTCCCCTAACAGCACTAGGTAGGGCAAATACCAGATGACATAATCTATAATAATAAAAGGGTAATTAATATGCTAATTAGACCGGACAGGTGGAGGACCTTCCACTATCATTCTGTATGTCCTGGATGAAGCCCCCACAGTGGGGGCCCGAGGCAGAGGCGGTTAGGGTCGATGAGGCAGGTGAGTGGGTTAGGAACCAGTGGTCAGGATTGTGAGAGGGTGCAGGCCAGGCTGAGGGACCCTCTCCCTTTCCCCCTCCCCTTGTGCACAAATTTCGTGCACAGGGCCTCTAGTTTTATGATAAAGGACAAAACCCAAAAAAGTCAAACATTTTAATGAACACAAAATTAAAGGACAGAAAGCGAAATTAAATATTCAGCCATTTTTTAGAAGAAATAGCCATGCATGACACTTTATACTCCAACAACAACAATCCTTTCCAGACCAAAGTGTGGCCCTACAAAACTTCCTTTTCCTTTCCACGTCTCCCTAGAGCATTAAAAACCAAAACAAAAAGCCCCAAACACCAAATACACAAAAACAAACCTTGTACATTAATCAACACAGTATACTACATAAAATTAAGCCACCAGAAACAGGGGCGCTTTAAAAGTTAGAAATCACTACCTAGCACGAAAATACTACCTGCAGGGCGAGTCAGGTCCTGTGAGAGGAACTCGCAGCCACAGTGGTGACACACGCGGGGCAGAGCGTGGGTCTGTGCTACACAACCGATCCCCAAAGGGCAGGTAACACTCAGACAACATGAACGGAGAACGACAATACGTATCCCAACTCACTTTCCTGCACAAGCCACTAACTGCCCTCTGCCCTGAAAGCTGTCACTGCTAGAGGCCTGCCAATGGCAAACATAACAGTCCGGGGCACCAGCACATCCTTCCTGCCCGCACCTTGTGACCAGGAACAACTTCTCAACGCGGCTGAGGCGATGCTGCAAAGTGGCCTTCACGCAGCAACCACATAGGTCGTTTCTCAACAGCCCCAGAGCCAACTCCCGGGGACGAGGGCGGCCTGACTTCCCTTCCACCCTCCACATGCTGCTTCCGCCCACCGACAGCACCGTGCGCGCCCGAGGACACGCAGAGGGGTTTCTAGCCCACAGCAGTGCCCTTCCAGGAAAAGGCGTGCGCCGATGGCCTTGGTCTAGGGCTCTGCCCAGGGCTGGGGAGACCCCTGGACCCGCGGGAGCTGGGGAGAAGCCCTGGCCCTTCCCGCTCCCCGCAGGCAGCCCCAGCCCGGGCCCCCGC